AAAAAAAAAAAAAAAAAAAAAAAAAAAATATATTATTTAAATATATAATATAAAACTAGAAAATAATTCATTGTAACAAAATATTAAATTATAGAACAACATAGTTAACAAAGTTAAAACAAAATTTTAAAAAATTATTATACATATCTCTAAATATATATAATAATTATTATTTTAAATATTAATTACTTGGATGCAATGTAGGCACATGTTGAGCTAGTCGATCATCTTTGAGCATATGAAGTAATGTAGTTTTGCCTGCATTATCTAAACCAAGAAACAAGAGTTTACCACTCTTTTTCCAAAGACCTAAAAATTAAAAACAAAAATCAAACTAAAAGCAATATTAAAAATTTTAAATAATTTTACAAAATTTATATTCATTTAAATATAAAATATAAATACATTTTTTATATATTCAAAAAAAGGAATACAATAAAATCATTTCATATTCATAAAATCATCAATTTACATGCACTTTAAATACACATTTTATGTAACATAAATTTATAATACGTGTAAAACATAATAAAAGTTATACATACCAAGATAATTTAAAACTCCTGCAAACCAATCCCAAATGAACATATTTGTAGATATAAATGAATGTCAAGTCCACTGTGTACTAACTATTGAATGACTCTGCAACAATGATAAGTTGACAAGATTATCATCTTTAAGTAATTGTGCATAATAGTAGTCATTTTTAAATTTATTATACCCTTCATATAATTTTTTTTAAATAATAAGAAAAAATATTATAACAAATACCGATAATATACAAATAGTTATTTACAAGAAAAAGTAAAACATTAAATCAATAACCTTTATTATATCGAAGTCAAGAATGGTATTTAGAATATAATCGGTGGACGATTACAATTGAAATGCGATAGACTTACCAGATCTCACCTAATAACAGTTTTATGTTTCGTTCACCACCACCAAAATGCAAAATTGCAAGCGGGTCAGAAAAGCGTTCGCATGGTATAATTACACTAAATCTGTTTCTTTACCACTAATTTAACGTACCCTACACAAAAAATATACGAAGCTGCAAAAGATGGAGAAGAAGTGCTTTTCTTCTTATAAAAAGCACAACTTTAGCAAACCTATTTGGCTGGCAGTTGGCACTGATGACGTCTACTTCCGTCTGCCATATTGTCTAAATAGTGCTGTTTCATAAATGCAGATTTTGAGGTCAATTACATTTATTTTTATTTCATTCTTAAAATTATAATAATATATATATTAATATAATTAAATTATAATTTTTCTTTTTTTAAGTTAATTTATTTCATTTTGTATCATAACAGTTACAAAAATATTTTGATATTATGAAGAAATAAATAAAATTTTATATAATATATAAATGATAGTTTAAATGATAGTTATAAAAAATATAATAAATATACTGCACTATCTGTGAAATTATTTACATTAAGATTTTATTTATATCGAATATTTAGAGTATAATGTCCCTAGTATGCGTTACATTTGGTAACTAATTTTCTTAACCTCTTTAAATTTTGTTTTATGCAATATTGTATATTAAATGCAATGTTGACAGGTAATTTACTTTTAATTTATATTTTTTTACTTAATAGTTAATTTTTTTCTAAATATTATATTTAATAAATATAATATATCTTTTATATTTCATAAGATATGTCATAA